ATATGTGTGTGCATATATATATTATATATATATATATATGCCGGTAAAAGGTTTCTTTTCTTTTTTTTATTAGTGAAACACCATGAGGTACAGTTGTAGACTTACAAACTTTAAAATGTTTCTTTCATTGAAGTCTTTGACAAACATTTCCCTTGTACCTTTACTCCTCCCCCCACCCCACAACCCCCACCCCTCGACTGTGGGCAGCTGCTCACAGGTCCTCACCCCTGCAGGCACAAACAGCAGTGACAGTGGGCAGTGCAGCAGCTTCTGGTTCAACTTTGCATCAGTGAGTCCAGGGCAGATTGACCTTTTACAACACAGATTCTTTAAAAATCTGGGCTTATTTTCATTTAATACCAGGAATCTAATCTTAGTGTTCTTTTGGGAAAACTGGGATCGATGTCACTTTTAATTTTTTCAGAAGAACACAGTGCTAGACAGAAATAATCTCCACCCATCCACCCTTTTAAAAATCAGTTTTGTGGATCTACCCTAGTTCTGCTTGTTAATGACATCTGAGGCCCAGGAATGAGGTTCAGGCACACTGGTCCTTTTCTCTGTCATGTAGCAGATTTGATTTCCAAGAGGATTTGAGACTGGAGCTGACCAAGCCAGCCACTGAAGCCATCTGACACTGTTTCATCTGTTATCTTGACACTTCGATGTTTGCATTGCTACATAGGTAGAAGGAAACTTTAAGATCACAGAATCCAGTCTCCTCTTTTTAGAAATGGGGAAAGTGAAGTGTCAGAGAATCCAGCCCAATTCCTTTGAAATGCCAAGGCATCAGCATCATAAGATGTTAGATGTTAATATTATATTACTAGAATGTGAGCCTTGGTTTTTGTAAAAGCTTTTTTTTTTTAACCCTGCTCCATTCTAAAAGAAGTCATTTGGACGCAAGTCAGAAAATTGATGGTTTGGATAAGAACACTGAGATATCAATATTACAAACCACAATTCCAAGAAGGAGAGAGGGAGGGAGGGGAAAAGTGCCCGCCATAGGGACAGGCAGGGGGTGGAGGTGGAGGGTGATGGGAGGGAACCTGGGGACACTGGTGCTAGGAAATGTACACTGATGGAGGGATGGGTGTTGGAATACTGTATGGCTGAAATCCAATCATGAATAGATTTATCAGGGTATATCTCACAGTGATTCAACTGAAAAGTTTGTTGTTGTTGTTGTTGTTGTTTTTAAAAAGAACACACTGAGAGTGAATTGCAGACCCCATGAAAAATGTTCAGGGTGGGTAAGAGACGTGGCAGGTAGGGAGCCTGCTTTGTTCAGGGCTGACCCTGGCACAATCCTTGGCACCGCATAACCATATATGGTCAAGCACATCCTGGAGTGATCCCCGAACACTGATCCAGAAGGAAACCCTAAGCGTGATCAGGTGTGCTCCCCCCAGGAAAAAAATGTTTTAAGTGTGTAGATAACTTGTCTGTATCATTCACAGTGAAAGATAAAGTGTGGGAATTTTAGATAGACCCCCTGTATTAAAATCAGAGTTTTGTGTTTTGGACAAAGTATGAACTTCTCAAAGTCCCAGCTTGCTCACCTGTAAAATGGTAAAATAATAGTGACAGCTGCCAGGGCCCAGTGCTATAATGAAGGTGAGTCACTTGGTATCCCCATCGCCTGGCCCACACACAGTCGCTCCTCCCTCTCCTACACTAGGAAGTGCTGCCATCTTGTTTTTTTTCCTGGAGCCCTATCTGCACTCTGGAAATGTGGCCAGTAATTGTCTTCTGACCTGGAATATTGATAAGGGTCTAGAACATGGAGATAGAGGCATTTAAAAAGAGAAGTATAAAGCAGATACTCTATTGATTTTCTTCTCACATCATGTGTGTTTCAATTGACACTGCTGTATAAGGCAAATGTTCAGATTTTTAAGCCATAAATTGAAGTTTGACTTTAAAAAATTAAAAGCTGGAGTATACTAAAATTGAAAAGATACAGAACATATGTCTTTCCTCTCTTTGAACCCTAAGAACCTTCACCCCATTCCTTTAGGAAGCAAGTCCTATATATACTCTCCTGTGTGCTTTGAGTTATCCAAGAATATATTGACTGAACACACTGGATGGAGAAATCAGTGGAAATTTACAAAGGAAGAAAAATCTATGTAGCAATACATGCCTCTAGATTGTCATATAAAAGCAATAGATTTTTTGTGTGTGAAGAATGCAGAAAAAGTTAATTTAAAAAGTTCTTACCAGTCCTTTTGTAATTCAGCGGAAAAGCAGTATAAAATTGTGCAATATTTACTGGTTTTCTGGAAGGTGGGTGAGGCACACCCAGTGGTATTCAGGGTCTGTTCCTGACTGTGTGCCCGGCAGTGACCCTGGAAGTGCTCTGGGGCCCATACTTGTTGCCAAGAATTGAATGGAATCAGCCATGTGTCAGGCAAGCACCTGCTCTGTTCAGTCCTTAAAGTCTGCTTGAAAGGTAACTTGCTGTTCAGCATCCCGAACTCTTGAGTAATTCCAGCTAGCTGGCAGTGCAGCCTAGCATGTCCTGACACATTGTTGCCAGACTTAAGGCCTAAAATAGGAAATAAAGTGCAATCATAGTTTCTGTTACAGGTTTGCTTTGGGGACAGGGAAAAGTGCTTGGGCCACAGTGCAGTGTCAGGGATGGAACTCCAGGCTCCAACAGACTCCAGCCCTGCCTTCTGCTCAGTGCGGGATTTGCTAGCACAGATGACAATTCAATGCAAGGTGGTGCGGCTGTGATGGAGTCCTCTCTCTTGGTGCCTGGGGTGCCCCGCCTCACCCCAGCAATGCCGGAGGGACCATGTGGTTCAGGGGATTGAACTGGAGTCAGCTGGGTGTGAAACATGTACTCTAACCCTAGCATTATCTCTCCAGCCCCTGGATTTGCTTTTTAAGAACATCTATTGTGTGTGCAAATAACTAGAAAAATACACTTCGGGGTAGATTTATTTATTGGACTTCACTTGCTCTGAAGAGATCCTTGTTCAGACTAATCCCAGACTGATCCAAAATTGTGCCGCTTTGGTGACCCCTAGAGAAGGGATTATATTCAGAAATGCTTCTGGGGCTGAGGGTCTTGGACAATGGCGGGCTGTGTGCAGGGCTCACTCCTGACTCTGTGCTCTGAGCACTGCCGAGAGACTATACTCGGTTCTGGGGATTGAACCAGAGTTGTCTGCATGCAAGGCAAGCAGCTTACCCCTGTACTACCTCTCTAGCCCCAGGAATGCATTTCTGAGGACCAGTCTTTGGTGTGAAATGTAGCCTGGAAGTGCTGCCACTGTCCCCAAGCCCACCGCGCACCTGGTCATTGTGGCCCTTGCATCTGTCTTGTCCTCACTGAGAACAAGCCACGAGGTTTTCATCCATATCACTAATGTGGTAATATTAGTCATATTGCAATGGCTTAATGACTGTGATACTGCAATGACTTAATGACTGTTCTGAAAAAAATCAACCCCTTAAGAGTCCCTGGGCCTTGTCTGATGTGATGGGGGCAACGGAGTCCACGACTGGAAAGGGGGATTTCTTTCGTGACCCCAGATCCTAGTGGGTCAGCTGAGGGCTCATTTTATGCTCTCAGCAAGCATCTTGCATCTCACCTAGCAACCGAACAGGGCCTTTTTTTGAATCACCATTTTAGGCCTGACAGACCTGGATCCCGCTTTTCTTGAGCAAGAATTGCTCGTTCAGCACAGGGAGAAGGAAAAGGTGGTCAGAATGGAAAGTCTTAACTCTCAGTGCATTGGTTGGAGGGTGAGTACGCCTGTGTCCTCTTCCCCCAGTCACTAGAAATGGTGCCGGAGTAAGCCGGCCTATGTGCTGATGACTAACCCTGTAGTAGGTTGCCATCTAGTGGAACGTATAGAAAAGTAAAGATTAATGTATTCTGGCCACAGACATTCAGTGGAGCTCATTAAAACCTTGAAAACGTTTTCTAAAGGCAAGTGCTTTGGAAACACGTGCAAATTAAGGTGATGTTACAGACAGCCTAGAGCAATCACGTTTTCTTTCTTTCTTTCTTTCTTTCTTTCTTTCTTTCTTTCTTTCTTCTTTTTTTTCTTTCTGAAGTAAAACAGATTTTATTTGGAGGGATTTTTGAAGGGAAGGAGGGAGAGAAAGTAGGAGAGAGTGGAGAGTAAGAGAGATAGTAACGCGCTCAAGAGAGACCGCTGGCTTCTCCAAGGGTGGAGAGAGCCCTTACACACACCCCGGCATTAGATAGGAAAGCATAAAAGTACACATCTCAAGAGGGCAGATGTGGGTGACACTTGTGCTCAGTCACCGCATGTGCTCGGCCACGCAGGCACAAGCAGCACACGGGCTCGGGCAGCATATGTGCTGTAATCACATTTTCTTAAAGTTGGCTATAGAACACTCTGATTTTGAGAAGTTCATGAAGATGTACCACCGAGAAACCAACACACTTTTCGAACATACAGCCAGCATTTTTATAGTTTCTATGTAATGGGCATGGTTTCTTGTCTTTAAGCACTAGAAACACGCTTGGTTATTGCAGGTTATTTTATTTTATTTTGGGTACTGGAGTTTATAAACTCTTACTAGTCGGGTTTCATACATGATGTGTTCCATGTCCACACCCTCCATCCAGGTGTGCTTTTCCTTCCCTCGTTGTCCAGTCTCTCACAAGATTATTTTAGTTTTTTTTTTAATGCTGTTTTAAAGGTTTCTATTACCTTTCTTGCTTATCCTTCCTCTCACCAATCCCTTATTAAATCACCAAAAGGAAAGAATGTGTGTATTCTTAGAAGCAAGCTTCACATCAGGGAGTATGGCTTTTACACCTTGAATCCGAAAGCATTTCCTAAGGTCCAGCTCTGTGGCCTGACTGGCATGAAGCCCAGTCAGACTTAGATCATGGATGGCTCGTGACCACTGACTGATGTGTTGTTTGCATTTTTGTTCCTCTGTCCTGTTTGCGTAGATCTCTCCCTGGTGCCACAGCAGCTGAGTGTGCATCTAATCTGAAGAAATTTCCACAGTGCAGACAGTACAGGTAAGCTCCAGAGAGGGCAAGCCCTTTCCCCTGGTCTGGAGTAGACCCCTGAGTTCTGTATCCTGCAAACTGCACCCACCTCTGCTCCCAGGCTCTGCTCAGGCTCGCTGGTGGTTTGACAGATATATCCTGAGCCAGCTACACAGACTTCCAAATGGTCTGCCTTCTTTGGCAGTGTGGGTACTCCTTGCAGCCTCCTGAGTCGTTGTGGCCCCTCTCAGGTGTCCCCCCAAGGCACCGCCCATTCACATACTGGCTCTGTCTCTCCCTCCCAGCTGTCTCCCACCATGCAAGTGGCAGAGGCCCCACCTACGGGGGTGTAGGAGCTGTGCATCACGTATTGGAGCAGGACAATGAAGTATCTTTCTCCCACGTCGCCTCATGCTCAACTCTGTTGTCCCTAGATGGACGCCTTTAATTTATATGAGATGGGTATAAAGCCCCCCCCCCCCGCCCATGAGTGGTTTGTGAGGTGCAAATGAGATCACATTCTTACCATACTTAGCAGAATACCTCATTCAGAATAGGTTCTCTACATTATGAGCTTTCCCTTCTCTTAATTCTTCCTCCATCCAACCCTGAGGGTGAATTTTTGAGAAGTGATTTATGTAGCTGATCATCCTCTAGTGCAAATTCTGTCAAGTTTCTTAGACTCCTGTCTAGTTTAATACTGTCATAATTTAGGAGTGAAACGGTAATACAATGGTGCTTGCCTTGCATGAAACCAACCCGCGTTTGATCCCCGACACCCTATATGGTCCTCCAAGCCTGCCAGGAATAACCCTTGAGCACCTCTAGGTGTGCCTCCCCCACCACCACCACCAAAAATTGTCATAGTCCAAAGGCAGCTTTAAAGACTGCCTTGAATGTTGCACAAGGGTCCAACATAAATAGCTTTCCTTTGTAAATCTCTCAATCTTTCAGTGTCTTGAAAATTCCAATAGGTTGGTGTCTAGATTGTATCTCTTAGGTCACCTTCCATATGCAGATGCAAAACAAGACCCATTTTTCCAGACCCTGCTGTCATCCCAATACCTGAATCAGAATATCTGGCCTTTGTACTCCAGGGATTCCAGAAATCTGACCATGAGGCCTCAGGCCTGCCCACTGAGGGCAGTGTGCTTGTGTGCTGATCTAACGGCAGAGTCCCAACCCAAGCCAATTCTGATCTGGTTGGGAACATGACATAAGCTCGTGGAAAGCAAACTCACAATGCTGTTATAAATAATCTTCTGGTGCCAGGTACAAGCAGTGACACAGGACAGCACCTGGGCTCTGCCTGAGGCATGGAAGCTCTCTGAATCCCAAAGAGGTTCTCCTCTCTCCTCGCCTGCAGTCACTGTATTCGAGTTACCTCTGCCAAGCTGCATTGTCTGAACCTCAGACCACTTGATTTTGAAGACTGTATTAATAGGGAAGTTCTCAGGGTATACAAAGTGTATACACCTGATCCACTTTGACAGAAGCACACAAACACATAACCATCATCCCAAAAATTTAAGAAAAAATTTTCACTTCACGTCAGGGATTCCTTCATGCTCTTTCCAGTCCCCTTTTTTCATCTCTATCATTGATTGTAACATTTGTTTGTTTTGTCTGTTGTTGATCCTCATGTGTATGGAATTACACTACAATACATTTCTTTTCACTGAGTTGACACTAGCGGGTGAAATGAATGAATGAATAAATGAGAAATTAACGAATGACCCACATTTGTTAGTTTCTGGGTCACAACAGATTGCTCAGATAAGGGTCAATTAAACAAGTGTTTCTCATGCTTTTTCTATCTTCGTGGCCCACTTCTGGTTTTGTTTCCTTCCTGAGCCTCCACCCCCACCACCCACCCTATGGATTGGCTCCTTACTCTGATAACATGGAAAATTTTACCTGTGTTTCCCTTGCAAGATCCCAGAAGCCCTCCGGGGCCAAATAGACCCTGGTTGAGGAACACTTGGTTAAACGACATATCACGCATTCCCAGTGGGGCAGTAACTAGGTCTTGGTATGGAGAAAAAAAAATCCCTTAGTATATAAAGCACATATATAGCACATAAAGTGGTGCGCAGTCCCTCTGGATTAAAATTGCAGGAGGGATCGATCGATCAGTGAAAAGGACTCCTTCAGGTTGGGTTTGGGATGATGCTAATAAAACTTTGCTCTGAGTGGTCAAGAAGCCCTGTGTGTCCCTGACGTCTGTTCCCTCATCTTGAAAGCCAAGCAATAGCAGTTAGCTACAGATAATAGCAGCGGCCTAAGGCTGAGAGAAGTAGATGCGGTTGCATGAGGTTCCTGGTAAGCTTGGCATCCAGAAAGAGCCCAAATGCTGGCAGATTTTCAGAAGAGTAGTTGGTTTCTGCATCTGGATGCCAGCAACTGCATGGTGAGGATGTGTGTCAGGGCGGCACGATAGTAGAGCAGCCACACTACCTAGGCTGTGCTAGTTTCACCGCCACAAGCTAGTGTAAGCTGCTTTGTCTCTAGCAGGAATGCTCAGATTATGACATTAACACCTCTGTGTAAAAACATCAAACTTCTTAGGAACTTTGAAGCTTCAGCAGCACAGAGCCCTTAAATATGGTCCTTTTTTATATAAGAACTAGTCTGCTTGCTGATAATTATTTTATTTTATTTTTTGAGTGCTTTCTTTTTAAATTGAATCACGGGGAGATACAGTTACAAAGTTTCCATGATTGTGTTTCAGTCATAAAATGATCAAATACCCATCCCTCCACCAGTATGCGTTTTTCCACCACCAGTGTTCCTAGTATTCCCACACCTCCCCCCCCCCCCCCCGCCCCATCCGAACCCTGTCCCTGCCTCTGTGGAAGACAATTGCCTTCTTACTCTCTCTGCTTTGGAGCACTATAGTTTGCAATACAGATACTGAGAGGCCTTCATGTTTCATCCTTTATCTGCATTTAGCATTCTGAGTCTTCCCTCCAACCATGATTAACTTAGTGATCCCTTCTCTATCCCATCTGCCTTCTCCCCCAGCTCAGGAGGCAGGCTTCCAACTATAGAGGAATCTTCCTGGCCCTCATCTCTTCTATCCTTGGGTGTTAATCTCATATTATACTTTATATTCCACAAATGAGTGCAGTGATTCTGTGTCCCTCTCTTTCTGACTCATTTCACTTAGCAGGATACTCTACATGTCCATCTACTTATAAGCAAATTTCATGACTTCATTTTTCCTAACAGCTGCATAGTATTCCATTGTATAGATGTACCACAGGTGTTTTTTAACCAGTTGTCTGTTCTGGGGTACTTGGATTGTTTCCAGATTCTGGCTATTGTGAATAGCCATTATTGTGCTGTAATGAACATACAGGTGCAGATGCCATTTCAACTGTGTTTTTTTGGAGTGCTGACTTTTAAAGTCACCTTAGGACATTCTTTTTATCCCATGATTTTAAAATTTGGGAGTATAGCTTCTCGAAGTCTTTGTCTCTTCACTAAAAACCTGCTTCCCTAGCCATAACTGTATTTCCCACTCCTCCCAACCCACTTCCGTATTTAGATGATCTGTAAAAACTGTACTAATAACAGTCACTTGGCCTAAAAGACACATCTTTCTATGTTGTAGATTCTTCTGGAAGTTAGAGATATTGATGGGTGGGCAAGGAATTGTATTCCCCGTGATTAGCTTGAGAGAGAGAAGCTGAGGGGTAAGTGGCCCAAAACATCCTGTGGAAACATGCAGTCCCCTGGACCTCTGGAACCAGACCTCCTCCTCTTCTCCGCTTCTTTCTTTCCTCCATCCTGACTTTCCCTGGGGTGAGGAGGCATGTTCCTCCAAAGGCCCAATGCTTATAACCCCTGCCTGAGGACACGCGCCTCAGGGCCAACAATAATGCTCTCTGCTTGGAGTTAAAATGCTTTCGTTCCTGCCTTTCTTGGAAAATTCCAGTTTTCATCTACATGTATTTTCCAGATGCTTATTGATTCCTTTTACTCTTTTGTAAACGATTTCCAAATGAGCCTCATTTTTCCTGCATGTCTACTGCTCAGTAGATGCAATGCAGAAGAGAACACAGCTTCTTAGCAGGTCTGTGACCAATGGGTGCATGAAGAGGTACCTGCCATGTGTGAATGACCAGGGAGTAGTCTTCTTCTCAGTAGCTTTCAGTCTTGCTCCGAAAGAGTTCACCCCCAAAAACTTACGCCTTACGCATTCTATCCCTTAACAGTTTCTTTGTTGTCACCTTCAAGATTTTGCCACACTGTGTCCCACTTGTACTATACTTTACCCAGTATTTCCCATAAATTAACTTTTTACTTCCTTAAGGTATAAAACTTCATGTTTTCCTGTGAAGGCTTATCCCGTAACATTTATTACTATAAACAAAGTGAATCCCATCTTTTAAGCCAAGAAAATGTTCTTTCAGCACTCATGTATTGCCAACAATAATAGCAATATCCATTATTCCTTATCAGAAAGATGCGGAGTTACTTTGCTCTTGAGACATTCCGTTAGGACAACTTATTGCATGCCAAATCATTGGGAAAGGAAGAAGCCCGTTTCAAAAGAAGTTTTATAAATCAGTGTTGATAATGGAGACCATGATTGATTCAGAGTATTCACAGTCCTAGACATGGAGGACAACTGAGTAGCCCACCTGGGTGCAGGGAAGAGAAAGAGAAACTATGCTGTAAAGGAAGAAAGAATCTGCAGCCAGCTTTATAGTTCTGTTTAACACAGATGCAATGCCAAGTTCAACAAGGTTCTTTGACCCGGAATGCGTTTATTGCATGTAGAATAGTGTCAGCACTTAGAGTAACAGCCCAGCTGTGAAAAGTGGAACTATTGCCCCACCATCAGCAGATGAGATATTGCCAATAGGTCAGTTACCCTTTATCATGGGGTACCCTTTATTGTATGGTCTGCTGGCCATTATGTTGGTGACTTGAGGGCTGAGGGCAGAGATTAGGTCCTGCAAAGTCAAAGTTATGTTCTCATTTCAAATGTGAAACTTGATTCGTCTGAAGGGAGTCAACTG